TTAAGCATCTCCCCAGTGCTTTATGAATGTTAACATAATGTATAAATTGCCATGCAAAATACTTATTTTGTCTCTCCACACAGTTGTAGATTTCCCAGTGCCTTTATTTTAAAATAAAGTTTATTAAAGGTTTGTGATATATTTAGCACCAGTTTTATTAAATAAAAATTGTTTAATTGTCAACAAAGAATGAGCAATTCATCCCATCTCCTCTGAAAAGCATCAAAGTGTCAGAGATAATTCTGCAGACATCCACAGAGCAGGAGAATTAAATCACGGAGAACGAAGCCTCAGGTGAGAGCCCAGTAGACATCCTTCTGCAAATAAGGCACAGATATTCATGTCTAAGTACGTTATATGCTTTGCTAGTACAGATGATGGTTTTACTCTCATGGAAGTCACCCTATGCTGAGGTGTAATCTCTGACTGCAGTTATACATCACTAAGGTTGTATGATTAATTGTTGTTTAAGTTTGTGTTGTCCTTACTGTGTAGTGCTGTAGGAGGCAGTAAAAACAGGTTACCTTTTTTTTAATTGCTCGCTATCCAAAGAGCCACAGCATCTTGCCCTGACAATCACAATTAACCTTTTGACTGTAGAAAATGATCAATAATCTTGATAAAATATAAATTGTTAAAGGCATTGCCATATCTTTTTCATCTTATTTTTGTTTTTTAACATTGATTGTGTTATGTAATCAGAAACAACTACAGTATATACCTAAACAATTAAAAAGACACTACAGTTTCATATCTTATTTCTTAGCTTTTTACAGATTTTCCTTTCATATTTTAATTTCATATGAAACTAGCTATTCTTACACTGAAATGGCTGTGACCAAACTGCCCATCCAAGCAGATCTTTTTATGACTGTGATGTCCATTCACCATTAAGGCAGCTTGCTTTGTGAGCAGAAGTTTTGCAGTCAAGAGAGGCAATGCAGTGAGTGCAGTTCTTTCTTCGAGTCCTCACTTCATTGTCTAAGTGGCTATGGAGTAGCTTTTGTGCATTCAGTGACTGTCAGGAAATTAATTCCACATGACTGAATCGCCACTGAAGCTTGGAAGGCACTTTCCCTTTAACACTTATTTGATACAATGATAAAAGTAACAATGCTAGAAAACAAAGGCAGAAAGTCATTTAGTTATCCTTTTTTTTGGACAACCATTCCCTTGCTTTTCCACATGTATACTGTTCTTTGTGTCCATAGCTTCTGATCACTTTTATCTGCTTTCTGAAGAAATACCTATCCATGTATCCAGTAAATCTATCTATCCATCACAAGTCTGTGTGTCCACCTACAAATCTGTCAGATGTGATTACAAACATGTAGCAGAAGGCTGGAAGTACTTCAGTGGAAGAATGTTTAATGAGTGACTTGTCCAGATCTTGAAATGGTGTTATCAATCAATGCATGCTGATGTCGTGGGAGCTCAGCCTCACTGAAGCATGAACAACAGAAGTACACACAAGCATTGTAGGCGAACATATTGGAAAACTCTGCAGTGAAGAGTTCATAAATTTAATCTTTTACTGCTTATTTTATAACGTGTGTTTTTGCTGTATTTTATTATATCCCAGAAGAAAACCTGAAAAGGGGCAAGGAGCTTTTAGGAATAATAAGAAAATCGTTTTTAAAAACTGACTTCTGTTGAAATAATAAACAAAAGCCTTGTTTACTTGAAACAGAACCTCTTTTAAATAACAAACCATAACAGTAAGAAAATGCTTCTTTCAGACATGTTAATTCTGCAGAAAAAAGGCAATCATCACATTGTAATTGGTCATGTTTTAAAATTTACAACAGTGTAATTTAATTGGTTAATGTTTTGTTTTAAGTGAAGAATTTGTTTCTATCTGCTGTATTAATAAAATCAAGTGTAATCAATTTAAAGGATAACCCAGTGGCAGTAAAAAGCTGTGCAAGAGGCTCACAGAGGTTCAGTACACCACATTGATTGTGTTCATTCATTTACAGAGGCAAGTCCGACAGCAGTAATAATTAATCTTTTCAGACACCAGCTCATTCTTTATTTCACTACCCGCTTTCTTCCCATTGGTCTACACAGTGTATGCTGGAATATTATCTCAAGCAGAGCTGTGATGGAATGTCAAAGTTGCCCTTACATTGACTTCACTTAAATGCATTGCCGGTCCCATGTATGGTGCAATTTTCATTGTAATTTTTTCACTTATTGGACAAAGAAATCTGCAGGCTGTTTAAAATGATTCATCACTAGATGCTATAACCTATTAATATGTTAAGAGAATTAAGCCACAGTGGAAGGAGAAAACTAACAAAAGTCTAAACAGCCTGTTGTGATTCAGTCTAGAAGATTTTCAAGAGCATGAGAAGGGAAACAGTCCCCACTTGAAGGTAATATTCAAGAAGATGATTTCTCCTCACTATACACCAGGTGAGAACTACCATAAGAAATAATCTGTCCAGGAGGGTCTGCCTCTGATGCTCTCACAACCGTATTTATTCATAATTATTATATATAAATAGGCTACATAACTCTGTAGCACAAAGGATGACAAAGGTTTTTGGGTACTTAGCATTAAGACCTTGTCAAGATGCTTTCAATATTTTCCTTATTTACCCTGCAGTGTCAAGGGTCAGATACAGAAGTTAAAATCTTTCATTTGAGTCTCCTGTAGAAGTGGATAGTACTTGGGGAGTGCACTCTGGTTTGATTCTCTCTGCATGAGTATCCACAGGGATAACATGAATACAGTTGTAAACAGTTTTTTACAGGTTATCTGGACAGTAGAAAAGCTCATTAAATCCTTTTAGTTTGGAAACCTGGTAGACCTTCACTGTGCTTTGCATTTTAGAATCAAGGGATGTGTAAGACTAGCTGGATTGGGGCTCTTCCAGATCTCAGATGGAGACTCCTATGTTATTGTATTGTTCATTTCCCCATGTAAAAAAATCAGAGCTGCTTATAAATCGATTGTTCATTAATCACATTTCTTAATGTAAAATAAAGTTCTTGATGTGAAGGCAAAAACTGATACAAATGTAATTCATACATAAAGCTGTTTGGTGAAGTTAGTTATCTTATGTAAGCCATAACTCCAGATAAGCATCATTATGTTTTCTTTCAATAAGGAAAAAAATGGGTATTAACCTATATATCCTAATTTAGGTTGCCCTTTCTATTCATTATCAACATTGAATACAAGATGTAAATATCAGCATAAGCACCTAAGCTTTTCTCATAAGTAACCTATTGTAGCACAGCATTTCCAATTTGTATTTTTGCTACCTGAATTCAAAACCAAAACCACTTGTCTGCAATAAGTATCCTACCAGGTGTTTACATAGCATTGAATGTTATCTAAATCATTTTGAATTTTATTGACTTGTTTTAGTGTTTGCTAATACTTCTGTTTTCATATCTTCTGCAAACTTGAGTCAACTATAGGAGCTATGTCAGAATCCAAATAATATATATACATCTATATAAATCAGGAAGACTAGTGGTCCTAGTACAAATACTGTACCTCTGGTACTCCAGTAACTAAATCACCAAGAGCACAAAACCCTTATCTGTGATCTCTCTCCAAAAGCCTTCTGAAAATCTGCACCATATTGTGTGGGTACTCTGTGTGTTGCTTGTTTAAAGAACTATGACACATTATTTAAGCAAAATCTCCATAAAGGGTGTTATTTTTATTAATCCGATCATGTAGTTTAGTTCTGATTATATTTCAATAACTTTACATTATTAGTAAATTTGAACTCAAACGTTTTGGGCTATAATTATTTATTTTAGTTTGGCCACCTTTTTTATGGATGAGTACCACATTAGCAATTTCCCTATTCCATGGATATTTCCCCTGTCTTGAGTGACTTTTGGAAGAGTTACTTCAATGACTTAAAAACATGTCTTCTTTACTTCAGTGGAACTGGTAAGATACCATCAGGCCCCTGGGATTTATTAACCTTAAGTGCTTAAATGCCTGAAACACTTCTGCCTCTTCTATACTAATGCTATTTTCTAAGGAACTTTGTCCTTCCATTGCCTGAGGCATGTTGTTGACTTCTTTCTTAGTGAATACCTGAGTGAAATACTCATTTAGTATATCAGTCATTTCTTTGACTTTACTGTCCTGGAAACTGAACAGATGCTTGTGTACTGCAACTCATGCAAACAGGGAAAATGTAGAGATACCAGGTAACCTAACTGGCATGTCTTTGGAAGGTTGAAGTTAATCAGACCACCCAGGGGAAACCCATCCAATGTGAATGAACATGCAAACTCCACACCGAACACAATGGACCCAGCCTGGAATCAAATCCAGGACCATTAGACCATTCAGAATTGAGCACTGTTCAAAGGAGAGGATGGATGTGTTCTTAAGACACAGTACAATGCAAAGACACACTAACATAACAGAGTGAAGCTATTTTTGCTTGGAAGTTAAACGTATGTTTTGCTGGGAGCCTGAATGCAGTCATGGCCTAAGATCATGTGATTAATGGTCTTTCACCCTTGAAAAAAGAGACATTATTATGAGGCAATACAAAGCATGTTGGCTCTTTTACAGTCTGAGAAGCTCTTTCATTCATAAAATCAGGATAATTCTCAACACCCAAGTAAGATTTTAAAATATTGATTTCATAATACTATTTGACTATTTTAATACTATTTAGGTTTATTTTAGATGAAAAAAAACTACTTCAAGAATGGGAACTTTTGTTTGTCTAGTATAATCATTTGAAATAATTTATAATTTGTTAAATATTGTACAAACAGCTAAAAGATAATTAATACCAGGATTTTGTCTAAAGTAGGTTATGGATTATCATATTTTATTGTTGCGTTCTCTTCCTTTTTTGAGATGAGGGCCTCCAATAGCAGACTAGAGATTATTTTGGTATGGAAATACACCATGTTTATAAGTAGCTGGTTATATAAAAGTGACAGACGCAGTTTATAAAGCAGGGCTGAAGCAAGGAGACTGTTATTTGTTTGAATATGATTTATTTAGCAATGAATAATTCAGCAATCATGAACTCTAAAATGTCACATTCTTGAGATGTCAGATTGAAAATCTACTGAAAGATCTACTGTGTTGCTAGGTGGGAGACATGACTAATATATTAATTTATAGAACTTGTCCTAATAGAAATCAATGGTCAGTAGTGTATGCTTTAAGTTGTATTTGGAAATATTCAAATTGTCATTTTTGGTTGGCTATGTACACATAGGTCTGTTTCCTTTGCAAGCTCTCAACAGGTAACAGATCAACAAGTAACATGTCTTGTGGGTCTTAGTTCAAAAGAGCAAGAACTTGTCATGATGAAGCAAGGGGCTTAGGTAGTGATAGAATACACTAAATTAAATTATCTACTGTAACTGTTACAGTTATTAAAATCCAATAAGTATTACAAAGTCAGTTACTGCCATATTACATCATAATAATTAAATATAATTTGTTTCAGAATATTTTGGTCAAAATTGGTCAGAAGGAAATGTATACACATAAAACGTTTAAAAATTACCTTAACATGAAAGATTCAGGTAAACAGACACGTTACAGTAGATAATTTAATATGGTAAACACAGCTGCTAATTTTAACATCCTGTATGAAGGGAAGGAGACCTCTGTCCAGAGTCAGCCATACAGTACCACTTACTGTACAGGGAGCTCATAATGGTCTTTGAACGGAGTCCACAGCTGCTCAGTGGGACTGCATTCGGTACTTTGCATCATACATCTCCATTATCCCTTGCCTAATTCATGTGGATCGAAGACACAACTAGACAGGTAATAGAAAAGAGGAATGTAACCTGCACAATATGCTTCAAACACTGCCCAGATAGGTAAGGCATCCATGAGAACCACAAGGTGTTTTCCCCACAGTATGACACATACTGTATGTGAGACCCCAGATGAGAGCCTGTGCAAAGAGTATCTTTATCTGAACACCTACCTTTAGACCACTAATTTTAACTTTTATAAGAATGTAAGGATAGATGACACTACTATGTTAGAAGACAAGGCCACTGTGCTCATTATATTGTTCGGTAACTAGACAATTGGTAAGTCTCATACAAAGTATACAGTAATTCAGCATTTCAGTGTTGTGTGTGGTTCCCAAATAAGACCCATTTCAGTTTTTATTTACTTAAGTCAGATGTCTGTGTACATAAAGCCACATGCATTAGAAAAAATCTGAGTTAAATGGAATTCTATGCACATACCTGCAAACCAACCACACTCTAGAGCTCTGCTCTACTGTGTGTGAGACACACTGTTCACAAGGGGAGGCTCAACTGCAATTAAACGCCTGTCTTCCTGCAGACGAAAGGCAATATCCTGAGACCTCTTGGTTCTGACTCTCTGGCCCTTTCTCAGCGGTTATACCACATTTACTAGTAAATCACACCAATAAATATCAGGAGTATCGGGAGAGTTTTCAAAAATAAAAAGGGCAATTTTCAAGAGAAATCTGCCCACAGGTAACATTATTGACCCCAGTCTTCTGTAGATTTAAAGGGAAGGATAAACTTGTTTAACTTCACATTTTATCTGATCTACTTAGAAAGAAACCACAATAACCTTTAATGTATTACTAATTAAACGTAAGCATAGGGAATAAATAACTATCAGCAGCAATTAGCAAGTTTTGTGATCAATAATGCATGCACTATCCTGGAAGGTTTTTTTTAAGAGACTCATTAAAGAAAATGAAAATATAGTATTTTATAATAATTTTCAAGTCAAACCCTGAGTTTCACATAGCTTGATTCAATTTTGAATATTTTAATTTTGCTTTTTTCATTTAATCCCATTCTTTCATATTTTGAATTGACTAATTCTCAGTTAAATTGCTTTTTATATTTATGATTTGTTCTAAAATTATAGAACTCCTAAGGCCTTAATCAACCCTGCAACATCTCTGGATCCTGATCTTTTAACTTTTGCTTTTCATCTCGAGGAGTACTGACAAGGGTGAAGTTGTTAGAAGTAAAATATTTTGCCTTGTGCAAGAGAAGATCATTCATTTTCAAGAGAAACGAAGTGTAATTCTGTTGTTGTTTGATCTTTTGTGGATAAGTAAGTGTTCAGAGTTGTTGGTGAACTTTTTATGGACATTTTTTTTCATATACTCAAGAAGTCTTATTTTTAACAAATTAATGACAAATAATATACAATAAATATGGAGTTTGCAAAATCTCTGAATCATAGTTCTGCTTTTGTAAAAATGTTTTTAGTTTTAATGTAATGAAACCTGCCATATTTTATTTGAAGTTGATCAGTTGACTTAATTTGAAGTCTAGCAGTTGCTTATATCACAGGACTCCATCATCACAGTCAGGTATCCGTCTTGGTCTCAGCAGGAGCTCCTTTTCTACATACTGTATGCCTATGACTATGTATGGTAATTACATATTGTCACTACTTAACTGACACATTTTTGTAGTTAATTGACCAAACAGTTTTTGTACAGATGTTTTTTGTTATAAGGGATGTGTATCAGGAAAAGAAGACAATGGTGATAAGGCACTAATCCTGGGATATTTCACTATGTTGTTATTAAAATGATACCTACCAAGTTTGGCTTTATTTGGCCAAACAGTTTTTAAAGAACTGAAGCTAAAGGGTGGGCATGTTTCACATAGGCAGCGATGATCTAGTGCTGCTGTACAATTCTGGATCAGGACTGGGTGTAAGAAAACTTGCCAAGACTTGCATCAACTCCCAAGACAATGAAAGTTTAAATTTTTAAAACAAAAGTGCAGCCTTTGTTGTCTTGTGCAGCAAACACATGTGAATATGCATTGTCACTATAAAACTAGTTTTGGAGCTAATTTGTCAAACAGATCTTTAACAGGATGCTGCTTTTACCAAGAATTCAACCCAGTGTGTGTTGGAAAATTATTATGGCATCTTGTGAGCTTGCAAATCAGAGGTAGATCTATGCACAGTCCATCTTCAATTTAGTCAGTGCAGGGGTTGCCTAGTAATCTTCATATATTCAAAAAAATGAATGCTATTTAAATCTAATGTTAAAACCTACTGAAATTGGTTAATCTATCCACTCTTACACCCACATCACTTACACATCAAAAAAGTAAGGATGTTAAACAATCAATAAACTAAATTCCAAGAGTCTTTTCAAGAATGTTGGGATCTGGCATTTTCTTTGATGTCTTGATGAATCATGGCAACCTCTTTGTAAAGATTCATGTGGGAAAGTTCAAAGAAATCTCTTCTGTGATAATTATGCAATTGTTCTTCCTGAAAAAATAAAAAATGGGACAGTTTCTTCAAGAATACACAAACTATGAGTTAAACTCTTTACAAGCTTTAAGATTTATTGATGCAGATTTAAATTTAGATGGTGAATTTAGTGGCAGACTGTTAAAATAACATTTCTACTGATACTGTAGTTGTTCTCCCGCATACCATGCATCACTAAAAATTAGAGCAATGTGTTCTGTCTATTGCTTTTACACAGTTACCATTGAAAGGAAAAAAATAAATTCAAAGAAGATTAATATCTTGTCTGACATCTGAAATGTGAAAGAAAATTGGGTGTAAAACTTTTAAAACCACATAATACAGTATAATGTTTTATATGACACAAGCCTCATCTACTTATGTCACTAATAAGCTTTTAATGAATGAACTATTTTTAGTAATATTGTTTGTGTGTAATTGATTGGTCTTACTTGACTTTGAAATATGACATGATGTAGCCCCAATTGATTCTGGAAAGGGAATAACCAAAGGGCTACCCAAACCTCCAATCAATCATCAAGCCAATTTCTGCCCTATAATGTTAACTAGGTGATAATTAATATGAATCTCACAAAATAATTTTGGCTAGAGGTAGGCTATCGCAGGAGTGGAATAAAATTGAGGCTCCGTGTTTGGAAAATTCATGAAGTAAAATATGGTTATTGAGATTATATGCAAATATAACATGACAGCCTATTTATTTCTTCTTATGAGTACAGACAATTACTCATTTTCCATACAGATTACACTATGTCTCTAAATTAATATTTCATATTTATATTCCATTTGGGTTTCAAGAGATTGACCCAATTTATTCAGCAATATAGCGTTTATGATACACTAAAAAAATGTTCTACATCTCTGTCTGTTTCACTTCATTTTAGAAACCATTTGCTCAGTTTGGTGAAGACGTCTACAGTTCATCTACAGTGCCTTGCGAAAGTATTCGGCCCCCTTGAACTTTTCAACCTTTTGCCACATTTCAGGCTTCAAACATAAAGATATAAATTTTTTATTTTATG